GGGAGACTTAAATACAAGTTCTATTCTGAGGTCCCCAGAGGAAACTAAGTAGGAAATAAACAACAAAAAAACTCCCAAAATATATGATTTTGGAGAAACACCTCAGATTGAGCCACATTCATGTAAGTCCAGAGTTTAGGGGACTGAATCAAGGATTTTGTTTCTCTATATAGTACTCATTCAACAGAATATAGGAAAGAATATAATTAAAAACAGAGACTGTCATTTTTGTCTTTGTGCCCCCCAGTGCCCCAAATAGTGACCTGTAACATAGGAGGCACTTCATAAATGTTGATTGATTTGAATCAAAAAGATCATAGGTCTCTTTAGACCTAGGAGGTTAGCTAGTCTAGTCTCCTCATTTTACAGATGAGGAAACTGAGACCCAGAGAGAGGAAGTGATTTGCCTGAGGCCGCACAAGTAGTACTGGACAAATCCAGGATTCAAACTCAGAACCTCTGATTCTAAATTCAGCACTCCATGCACTTCACCACACTGCCTCCCAAAGGCTGGATGACCACTTTGTCGGGCACGTTACAGAGGGGAGCCTTGCTCGAGTACAGATTGGGTAAATGATCTCGCTCAGAGATTCTATGAAGTGAAAGGAAGCTTCATTCTCTTACCTCCAGTGACTGTCTTCAGTGTGAGGGCCTTCTCAGGGATTTGAGGCAAGATCAATGGGCCGCTAAGGGATCTCTTAGCATCCCAAGCATTCCAGAAAGAAAGGTCCAGAAATTTTTAATCTATTTCCTACAATTTTTACTCTAAGAGACCGAAGAGAGTCTCAGCTGGTTCTGGGCAGCATGATATGGTAGAAAGAATCCTGACCTTAGTGTGAAAAGTCCTGGGTTCAAATTTTTTTGGGGGTGGGTCTAGGCAATGGGGTTAAGTGACTTGCCCAGGGTCACACAGCTAGTAAGTGTTATGTGTCTGATGCTGGATTTGAACTCAGGTCCTTCTGACTCCACTGCACCACCTAGCTGCCCTGTGGGTTCAAGTTTTGTCAGGTCCTTATTAGGTGTGATCTTGGGCAAGTCACTGGGCCTTGGTTTACTTCTTTTCAAACTGAGGATGGATTAGATGATCATGAAGGTCCCTTCTGTCTCTGTTATTCTATAAGTCTGTGAGAATGTATGGAGTTAGTTGTGAGGTACATGTCATGTGGAGGAAATAGCATGATTGAATGCTCATAAGATTAAAGATTTAGAACTAGAAGTGACCTTAGAGATAATTTAGCCCAACTTTCTCATTTTTCAGATCAAGAAACTAAGACCCAGAAAGGGACAGTGACTTGGGGGATAGTTAAACAGGTAGTGTGTAGAAAGTCAGGATTTGAACCCAGGTCCCAATTCTAAATACAGAAGACTTTCTGCTTTGCCATGCTGCCTCTTCAATCCAACAAATATGTGCTAAACCCTTACTATGTATGGCAGAAAAGATGGGTTGGTTATGGAGCAACAGAGAGGGATAACTAATAGATAGCTGGTATGGCAGCAGGAACTTTCAGAGGCATGTGCTTGACCTGGCTTTGGGGGCTCCAGGAGATCACATTCTGTCTCCTAGGGACTGTGTTCCCAAATGAGAGGTGGAGACTGCACCAAGGAAAGTGCCTTCGTGCTTGGCCAGAATTGGCGAATGGAGAGCAGAAGGGTCTTGTCAAGGAGGGCACTGAGAGCACCAGTAATAGAGAGAAGAGAGGTGTTTTTTTGCCCTAACCCTTCCCCCTCCGAATTTTGCCCCCAAACTCAAGCAATAAGATAGGCAAAATGCCTCATTTGGGGGAGTGAAAGGAGGGAATGATTGCTGCCAGGCTGACTCAGCCCAAGGATGACCCTAGGGGCCCTGCACATTGTTCTCCATCAATCAACCTAGAGAGAACAGGGAGATTATTTCTGGAGCCACTCCCCTCATTCTGGAACTCATTCATCCCTGTTGATGTTAGCTAGATTTTTAGGCCCCTGTGGCTGGCTGGTGGGAGAGAGACCTTCCAGCAGGCCGGGCCTAGACATCTTTTCTTTTCTATTTTTTTTTTCAGCCAAAGACAAGGTTTATTAGAACATCCATCATATTGGCCAGACTCTTAAGGAGTCTGAACATTAGTGAGCTATTGGGTAGATTACAAGAATCCTAGACATCTTTTCAATAACTGTTTACAAAGTGCCTGCTATCTGCAGAGCACTAAGCCTGGTGGTGGGGGTGCAAATATTTTAAAATGTCATAGCTCCTACTTTCAAGAAGCTTCCCGTCTGTTAGAAGGAATAGAGAATGTATACAGAGAAGTCTGCTATAGAATAGAATGGGACAGGGACAGAAGAGAGTGGGGATGGGAGCATCTGAGAAGGCTTCTCTCAACAGGTAGAAATGAAGAGTAGAGGGTATTCTAGGTCTGGGAGATGGCCTGCACTTACACATGGAGGTGGGTGAAAGTGGGACAAAATAGAGGAATCAGGCAATTTGGCCATATGAAATGAGGCTGGAAAAATCTATTGATTTAGACTGAAGATCTTGAATCCCGGGCCAAGGAATTTGAAATTTCTTCTATAGGCAATAAGCCACTGGAGATTTTTCACCAGGGAGTGGCATGGTCAGACCTATATATGCAGAAATCATCGAGGCATGTACAGAGTACAGAATTTTTGGTTCAATTCAATTCAATAAGCCTAGAAGCTATCTACCAGCTGTCCCTTGTTTAGAGGTGTATGGCAGGGCCACCATTTTTTCCACATACACATGAAAAAATAAATATAATACATGACTGGAGTTCAGAGTCAGGAAAGATATGTTTAGCTAGGATTAGTCACAGAAATCTTCATGAAGGAGATGGTATTAAACTAGGCCCTGAAGGGTGGGAATAATTTTGGCATGACCTAATGAACCAGTCATAATGGGGCCTTGTCTAACCTGATCTTCCCTTCTCTCCTTCCCTCCTCCCTCCCTCCTAGGTATGAGTTTGGGCCAGCACTGTTTGTGGGCTGGGCATCTGCCAGCCTCATCATGCTGGGGGGCTCCTTCCTCTGCTGCAACTGTCCTGAAGGAGAGAGACCCAGCCCCCAGCAACCCTATCGAGCTGGGCCGGCCTCTGCAGCTGCTCGGGAGTATGTCTGAGCCCCTGGCCCAGCCCTGGGTCCATTGTTCCTGTCCCCAACTCCCACATCCTCTGTGCCCCTGTCAGCCCCAAGGCAGGTGAAGAGGCAGCCCCTCAGCCAGCCCCTGTGCCCTGGGCTGAGGGTGACCCACCAGGTAGCTCCCAATAGCATTCATTCTTCGGTTCACACATACCAACACAGAAAAAGGCTGTCTCACAGGTACACATAGACTGAGAATGGTACATTGGCATCCACTCAGAGGGATAAAAACACAAAGATACCCCCATACCCCCAGAAATACCTGGACACAGGCTTTTTTTCTCTGTCTCTGTCTGTTACACACACACACACACATACACACACACAGAGGACATCTAGAGAAATGTATGCAGGGCCCAGTTCTAGAGGGGCTCAGTAGTCTGCCTCCTGTCATATGGACAGGGAAGGAGGGTTGTATGGGCCAAGGCCACTGCCAAGCTGTGAATAGGCTGGTGGGCTGTGGGTTGGATGTGAGTATATGCTGGGGACAGTGACCTCTACCTGGATCCCCAGAGCCCAGGGTTCTCTCAGCAGAACTAATGCCCATTTTTTTCTTTTGAATTTCAGACAAATTGTAAAAGTGCCTGCACCCATGAGGGGAGACCCAGGCTTGTAACCTAGCAGCCCCCATCCCTGGCCCCCTCCCAGGCCCCAGACATTCCCCTCCCTTCCTTTTCCATTTCCTCTCCTCCCACCCTGGGGGAAGCTGTGCTTCTGTGACTTTGGTCCATATGCAAAGAGAAGTCCTGATTTGTTTTTCTTGAGTTTGGTGTCTTTCATTCTTCTGGGGGTAGGAGGTGGTGGTGAGTGAGTGTGATGAGGACAGAGATAAGCAACAGGTGACAGGCAAGAAGGGAGGCAAAGGGGACAAGTGTGACCAGCATCCCCTCCTTCCTTCTGTCCAGCTCTATCCTGAGAACTGCCACTAGCTTTGTGTTCTCATGCAACCTCTTGGGGACTCAGTTTCCTCATCAATAACATGAGGAGTCAATGAATGATCCTCAAGTTCTGAGTCCTGTGAACGCCAGTGACTTCTCCCCTGCCCTGCTCCCTGGGAATAGTGCACTAAGAGAGGTCTTGCATCTAATCACTGCAGTGAAACAGGAGTTTAAGAGAACAGGCCCAGAGCAAGTCACACCGTTTTCACTATTAAACTCTTGCTCCTCCTCCTCTTAGGGAGAATTTGACCCATATCAAATTGGTTTCCATCCTCTAGAACCCAGCTCATCCCTTTCTGCAGAGCTGCCTGAATTGAGATTAAAAGTAGAGCCTATTTGGGTCTTTAGAGCCTCTTCTGCTCTGACTTTATTCCCTAAGGAGGAGAAGATGTGCCCTCTCCCCCCTCCATTTCTCTTGGAGGCCTAGGAGTCTACCCCACAATTCTGAAGACCAAGACTCCTTCAAGGCTTGGAGCTGGGGGCTGGGGCCTGGGGAAGGAGACTACAGCAGAGCCCCTAGTCTGATGGTCTGCCAAGTGGCCCCAGGAGAGAGCCCACAAAAGCCCCCTTCCCACATCGCCCTTGGGGGGCACTTTCAGTGGTGAGAGGGGCGAGGAAAGAGTGGTGTAGAGCTCTTGTCTCTCAGGAAAGGTTGCTCTCGTGGGCTGGACAGGTTCCCAGGGCTTGGCTTGGAATGCGAAAGAAACCTGGATCCACATGTGACTCTCCCGAGTCCCCGCCCCCGCCCCCACCAGTAACCCTTCACTGTGCCCCCTTCCCATGCTCCTGTCCCCTCCCTTCAGTTCTCCACCCCCTCTTCCCCTCAGTACCCGTGGCCGCGCCCCTTAGACCTGCCCCAGAACTCCAGTCCGAATTTTGGGACCCTCAGGACTCCACCAGGCGAAGCCCTGGCTAGGACTGGGTGACGAGGTCCTAACGGGCTGTAGCACGGGACGCGGGGCTGGGAGGCGGCAGCAGCAACTCGGGCTCCAGCTCTGTCTCCAGGGGCGCGACCTCGACACCGAAGCCCCGCCAGGCCCAGGTCCAGGAGCCCTCTTGCGCAGGTCGGCCCCTCGGGAGGTGCAGGTTGGGGAGGTGGGAGTAGGGCGGGCTGAGGGATTAGAGGAAGATGGATGAGGGGTCCAGACCCAAACCACCCTAATGGAGACTCACTCAAGTAGACTATATTAATATCAAAACCCGGACAGATGGCAGTCCGCCTAGACGGGATCAACGACCAAGTCAATGACTAACCTCGGTAGATGTCTAATACGGGTTAGTAGTTAACCCTTCTCGACAGTGTCAGCTGTCTAACTCTCATAGATGGTACCAGTGACTAACTTCTTGAGGCTGCGTCAGTATATACCCATGTAGACTGTGTCAGTTACTGACCAGGGTAGATGTCTAATACGACTAAAGTGCCTAACGCATGTAGATGGCATCCGTGACTAACCCTCTGAGACTGCATCAATGAGTACTCCTATAGACTGTGTCTGGGAATAATTCGCCATAGACAACATCAGTGTCTGCCTTACATAGATAGCCAGAGGAGCCCGGCTCCTTTCCTGCCTCTGCAGGGAGTTATATATATATACTCTGGGACTGAGGGATAGAATAGAGGAGTCTCAGAAACCCCACTCCTGGACATCCTGGGGCTTCGCTGCGTGAGATGAGGGGAAGGACCAGGGACCGTGATCTGCTCCAGCATCAACCCCTCCACCGTTCGGATTCATGAAAGCCTCCCACAAAGTCAATTTCATTGTTTCTGGTTATAAAATTCAGATTCTCCACACAAGACTTTCTCCCCGGGTGGAGAAAGGTTTCTGTGACTGCGAGGCCCATCTGGGAGGGAGGATTGGAGGTGGGAGATGGGGCTGCCTGCACGTCTGGCCAGACGTCTGGGTGGCTGTCGCCTGCAGGCCCCAATGCCAGGACCCAGTCTCTTGCCGCTGGCCTGCCTGGCCCTGCTCTCTACGGCCTTGCTGCTCACGGCCACCTGGACCGACTGCTGGGTAGTTAACTCCGACGATAGTCTGGAGGTGAGAGGGTGAGGATCAGGCCCATTCCTTTCCCAAACTTCTAACCTATACCCTGCCTCAGTCCCAAGCAATTTGAGTCCTGTAAGGTTCTGCTGATAGAACCCCGCACTAGCCCAGTAAAGAATCCTCCCCTCCACTGAGGCCACGCCCCTTGCAAATTCCGGCCTGGTCCAAATAAACCTCAGGATCCTGGCCCTTGCGCTAACTCCGCCCAATCCCGCCCCAGCCCCCTGATGGTCTTTCTAGGACCCACTCTGTCCCCAGCCCCCTTCCACTTCCTAGCCCAGTACAGATCCCATCCAGGCCTGCCCTTTCCCAATCCTCATCCCTTCCCCGATCTTAGCCCTCCCCATACGACTTGAACTAGTCCTAGTCCGCCTCCCGACCAAATCCTTCCTTGTCCACCTGGTCGGGCAAGAGAAGGACTCTGTGGAAAACAATGCGTCTCATCCACTAGCGCTACGCTTAATAGATAATTTAGCACCTTTTTATTCTCCCCTGCTGTGCGGGGAGAAATGAGAGAAGGTCCCAGAATTCAGGAGCTCTCCTTGGTGCTGAGGCTCAGTGTAGTGGGATAGGGGGAGAAACGAATAATACGAGGCTTGAGGCTGGACCCCGAGAGACCTGGGAGAGTGACATGAAGAAAGATGTGACACAGACCCTGTCCTCAAAGAGCTTACAGGCTGAAGCAGGGAAAAACCTGACTAGGACGTCTCCCTCTCTTGAGTGGAAGCGGACCGCTGCTCTTCAGACTCCTTGCAGTCTGTCTTCCCGCTTCCGCCCATACCCAGGTAAGCCACAAATGCCAGGGGCTGTGGAGGGCGTGTGTCACCAATCTACTAGATGGGATCCGGACCTGTGACCAGTACGATTCCATCCTGGCCACCCATCCACGTGAGACCTCCACTCCTACCCCGCCTGCAGGGCCCTGTCCAAGCCCTGGGTCTTCCCTTCCTAACCCAGCACCCGCTGTGACAGCCTCCCTTCCCCCACCGTATGTCCTCACATACACTCTCCCGGCCATGGGGATTCCCATCCTGTTTCCCAGGGATGGAACTATGTTATGTACTTTCCCTGCCACACTAGCCCTTAGCTTCCCCCTCAGGGCTTACACCTCCAAAATGTTCCCCAAATTCCCTTTTCTCCCAGACTCTTCCTTAGTAAATGATATCCTGCTTCTGAGGCCTTCCTTCCCGTTTTCCCCCAGCTTCCTTCTCCCCCAGTGCTGCCTGTGACCCTTTCCCCAATCCTTTCTCTCTATGCATTCCAACTCTCCTAGTGTTCCCTAATCCCCCCTCAGGGTTCCCTGAGCATACTCGCTGATACTCTCCTTGTGCTCTTTCCAAACGCTCCTTGTGCCCCTCCCCTCAGCTAGTCCTCCTTGGGTCTCCCCACCTCAGTGCTCCCTGAGCCTTTACTCCTTGGTGGTCCCCATGCCCCTTCTCTGGTATCCCCCCTCCCACTCCCCATGGCGGCGGGTGCTGACCAGGTCCCTGCTGCTCGTGGCTGGGCTGCTGTGCAGCTGTGGGTTGGTGGCCCTGCTCCTCACTCTGACCCGGGCACAGCTCCTGGGCACTGACCCCAGGACAAGGATTCGGCTGGCCTGGGCAGCGGGCTGCCTCTTAGCTGCTGGAGGTGAGGGGGGAGGGGAACAGCAAGGGGAAGACTCAGGATTGAGGCTGGGGGCTGGGGAGGTGAGTGAATCAGGCTCCAGGAAAGGAAGGAGGGCAGGTTAGTTCCACACCCAGAAACTGTGGGGAAGGGGCTGACTCAGGCTGGGCTTTCTGAGGAGGAGATTCGGAGGTTGCTGCTGCTGCTGGACTCCAGGGCAAAGGGATCAGCCCACTCACCTTTGCTCTAGGGTTCCCTGGAGCACTGGGCTCACTCTGGTTTGCTGTGGAGGTGGCTATGGAAAGAACCCTACCTACTCAGCCCCGAGGACCCCTTACTGGCTACTACGAATGGGGCTGGTCATGCTGGTTAGGCATTGTGGGATCTGCTGGCTGCATGGCCACTGCGTTGGGACTGGCTTGCTGTCTTCCAGGACTCTGGCTCCCAGGTCAGTGTGTCCAGGAGCCTTCCCACTTCTCCTCCCCAAGTTCCACCCTCTTTTCAAGCAAGCAGGCATTTGAAGGGGAGGTCCTATCCTTGCTTCCATGCCCCTAGTCCCCGGGTCCCCAGTCAGAGCTGAGTGTGAGACCTTTTGGAACTTCATATCCCTGATTCTTCTCTGCTCTGTTCCACAGGCAGGAGAGGCCCTGGACACCAAATCAGAAGCAGGCTGCACCCACCCATATATATCCTGGACTCCAGTGTCTAAGGCCATAGCTTCCTCAACCCCATCAGCACTGCCACAGTTTAGTCTCAGACTCTTAGAGCCAAAGGACAGATTAGAGATCACCAAGATTCAGTTTGATGTTTAAAAGTTTTAACAATATCTTTTGTTTTTATACTACATTCATTTCCCAGTATATCTCTTCCCTGCCCTCCCACCCAGCAAGACTTCCCTCATAACATTCAGCAGAACCAACCAGTGCATCAACCTTGTTTAGCCTCCCATGCAATTCAGAAGCAATTATTAAGTGCCTACTATATGCTACACCTACTATGTACTGAGTCCTAGGGATACAAAGAAAGGCAAAAATAGTCCCCATTCTCAAAGAGCTTATAGATGAATAGAGGAGAAAACATGCAAAGAACTATATAGAAACAAGCTTTAGACAGAATAAATTGGAGGTAATTTTGGGGAGGAGGGAGGCACATATTTCACATGCACAATCCCTTGCTTCTCCATTGAAAAGAGGGAAGTACATTAAGTCATCTCATCTTTGGGGCCAAAGCTGATCATTGTAAGTGTAGTTGTGGCAAATAAGATAAATAAAATTAATAATAATAATAATAATAATAATAATAATGTAAACTGAGGTATAGAACTCCAAGTAAAATCAGTTTAACAGTGATGTGTGTAATTGTTAACAAAGTAGGTCAGACTGGCAACCTCAGTAAAGCCAACAACCCCAGTGAGAAGGAGGGGATCCTCTTTACCAACACACAACAAAGAAAGGGTCTTGGTAGGTGTGGAGAAAAAAATGATCTAGCTATAGGGTTTGGGCAGGAACATTATGATTGGCTGTTCTAAGAAAGGTGGGTTGGCATTCATGTAAGGCTAATCACCACCCCTCTCTGACAATTAAAGAATGTTAATTGTTTTATGGGACCCATTTGCATCTTGTAATTTTTGCTAGGGGATCAAAACTACCACACTTACTGTCTCCTTGGAAGTGATTAAAAAACTCCCTTAATTGTACAAGGATGGGCAAGGACAGACAACATATCTTTTGAGGAATAGTACCAACTTGTGGGGCTTAAAGATAACAAACATATCCTGTGAGTATCCCAGGCGCTGCCAGTATGAGAGATAACAATTTTTCATGTAATTATAACTTTAACTCACAAGGAAATCAAAATTCCTGAACTCAACTCAAGGACATAGAAAAGTAACTTTAGGAATTAAAGAAGTATTAATTTTCTTCATAGTCCTGAGGTCAATGTTTTGTTCTTTCCATTTACATTGTTGTAGTCATCTGTCCTTCTAATACACAATGATTCTTAAGCAGAACTCTATCTTCATGAGTTCATGTAAATTTTCTCATTATTTTCTGAATTCACTATATTTGTCATTTCTTATAGGATTATAATATTGCACTATATTCATGTACTACAATTTAGCCAGTTCCTAATCAGTGGGCATTTTGTTTCCAGTTTTCTTTTTCAACTACAGAAAGTGCTGCTTTTTTTGGTACATATGGTCCCTTTCTTTTTTGTCTATGACCTCCTTGGGTTATATGCCTAACAGTGAAATCTCAGGCTCAAAGGACCAAGTCCCAATTTTAAAGAGACCAAGGAAAGGGAAATGATAAAAGTCACATAGAGAACACGACAGACCCTTTTGCACCATGAGATCTTTCTCACAGGCGTGGTGTGTGGCTTGTTATATGAAATCTGCCACTCTCAGTTTGTCTTCGAGTTTGTAGCTCTCCACCCCACAGAGTTATCTCTGCTCCCATTTTCTGTATCAACCTTCTGCCACTGGCCTCAGCTCCACCTTGGAAACTAGTGGGATCTTCTGTCTGTCTGTCTCTGGTAGAAGCACAATAAATAATGACCTAGAAGCACCTTTTCTCTCCTCTTCAGAGGACTCTGGGGCAGAAGTGTCACTGCCATGGGCCGAAAGTAGATCTGGCTTCTATTTCATGCCATCCCATTCATTGAACATTTTTTAAATTAATTTATTTTTAGTTTTCAACATTCATTTCCATAAGCTTTTGAGTTTTAAATTTTCTTCCCCTCTCTCCTCCACTCCTTCCCTAAGATGGCACAAAATCTGATATAGGCTCTACATATACATTCCTATTAAATATATTTTCACAGTAGCCATGTTGTAAAGAATTAGAACCAATAGGAGGAACCACAAGAAAGAAGAAACAAAAGGAAAACAGAAGGAAAAAAAAGCATATAGTATGCTTCCATCTGCATTCAGACTCCACAGTTCTTTCTTTGGACATGGATAGCATTTTCCATCATGAGGCCTTTGGAGATGTCTTAGATCCTTGCATTGCTGAGAAGAGCCAAGTCTATCAACATTAGTCATTGCACCATGCTGCTGTTACTGTGTACAATGTTCTCCTGGTTCCTCATTTCCCTCAACATCAGTTCATACAAGTCTTTACAGGTTTTCCCGAAGTCTGCCTGCTTATCATTTCTTAAACCACAATAGTATTCCATTGAATATTTTCTAGTATGTGCAGAGCTAAGGAGGCAAACAATTGAAGAAGACACAGTCCTTGCCCTAAATAGGTTCATGGGGGAATAAGACAAAGATTAGACAAAGTCTCTCTTATAGCCAGGTTGGAGAGATATGAGCTATGAGGTGGGCTTGGAATGGGCTTTCCCAGACCCCAAGAGATGTCATCAATAAGTTCATATGTCGTGTAGGAAGGTCGCTAATGTATCACAGGATCACAGATTTAGAACTGCAAGGGAAATTAGAGGTCATCTAATCCAATCCCCTCATTCTAAGATAAGGAAATTCCAGCCCTAAGAAGTTAAGGTATTTGTCCAACATCATGCAGTAAGTTATAAGTAAATAGAAAACCACAGATTTGAACGCAGGTCTTTAACTCCAAATCTAGGGCTCTTTTCAGTATATCACAGAGTGAGCTTGGGATATGTCCTTGGACTTACGATGTTCAATATCTTTATCATTGGCTTAGGTAATGACATAGATGCTCAGAATTAGGGTGAGGGTTAGGCATATTTATCAAACTTGAGGATGACATTGAAGCTGAAAGAGATGATATACTGGACAATAGAGCTGGGATTCCCCAAAGATTCTGGCTGGCTAGTGTGAGGAGCTGAATCAAATAAGGGACCATTGTTGCTCCCTCCATAAGGGTCTTCTTCCAATGTTTCACCTTGGCTTGGAGATGACCACAGGTTCTTCAAAACAGTGTCAACAGAGTACAGATTTTTACCAACGTGGCCATGTTGGAAAGATCTTAAATATAGTCCTAGTAACAGACTATTCAAAGATCAAACTAACTACTCAAACTAATCAAGCATATATGTACGTGTACACATGAGTATTTATATATATATGTACCTGCATATATATTTATGGTTACTGAACCTGGGATTTCATCAATATTGAGAGATCCTGATGAAGAAGTTTCTTTACAAATGCAGCTCAGCTCAACATCTTCTCATCAATTTAGAATCTTAAAAAGTTGCCCAGAGTACTGGGATCTTTTTGTTTTGTTTTTGTTTTTGTTTTGTAGGCAATTGGGGTTAAGTGACTTGCCCAGGGTCACACAGCTAGTAACATGACAAATGTTTGGTCTGAGGCCAGATTTGAACTCAGGTCCTCCTGACTTCAGGACTGGTACTCACCCCTAGAGTACTGAGATCTTAAGTGACTTGCCCAGCTACACAGCAACTATGTGTCAGAGGTAGAATTTGAACTCAAGTCTTCCTGACTCCTAGTCTAGCTCTCTGTGCATTATGCAATGCTAATAGTAATATCTCCCATGTATGTAGCACCTTGAGGTTAACAAAGAATTTGTATTTAAAATTTTTTTTATTCAATTTCATTTGATCGTCATAAGAACTCTTTACTCTTACCCTATTTTACAAATGGGGAAACTGATTTCCCAGAGTTAGATATCAAAGGAAGGAATGAAACCCAGGCCTTGGGAGTAGAGCCAAGATGGCAGAGAAAAGGCAGAGACTCACCTGAGCTCTCCCAAATTAACCTCCAAACAACTTTAAATAGTGTTTCAGAACAAATTTGGAGTGGGAGAATTCACAAAAGAATAGAGTGAAATAATTTTCCAGCCTAAGACAGCTTAGAAGGATGGTAGGAAATGTCTTTTGTACCTGGGTGAAATACTAGTGCAGGCCTTGGGGGGGCTACCAAATCAACTATGGCAGTGGCTGCTTCCAGAACTCTCAGCCCTCAGGTGGTAAGAAGGTCAGACAACTGTTAAGAAGGAAATCACAGGGGCCCTTTTGCTGGTACTGGGTGCAGAACTTTCTTGCGTTGCCCTTATTCAGATCTGGTTCATAGTCCTGAGTCACAGTCCCAGGGCAAGGAAGAACACTATCGCACCAGAGCTTGTGGCCCCAGGGGAGAAGAGTTTCTGGCCACAGTTCCAGGGTAGAAAAGAGTGCTTATCATCACTCACAGACCAGAGCACAGGCCAGGAGAGTAGTAAACACATATCTCCTTATATCATACCACCTTGGAAGAACTGAAAACTTACAGACCTCCCAAATTAGTTGCACAAAAAACCCAAAACTTGGAACAGTGCCCCTCCATCCCAGGAGCAGAGCCCAACTTTAATATAAAGTTAGAAGTCATGGCAGCTAGGTGGCACAGTGGATAGAGCTCTGGCCTTGTAGTCAGGAGGACCTGAGCTCAAATGTGGCCTCAGATAACTTGACACTTACTAGCTGTGGGACCCTGGGCAAGTCACTTAACCCCAATTGCCTCACCAAAAAGCAAAAAAAAAAAAAGTGAAAAGTCAAAAAATATGGAGGAAAATTAGCAAACAACAAAAAAAAAGATCCTAACCATAGAAAGTTACTATAATGACAGGGAAGATCAAAACACAAACTCAGAAGACAACAAGCCAAAACTGCTACATCCAAAGCTTCAAAGAAAAAATGTGAATTGGTTGCAGGCCCAAAAAAAGAATTCCTAGAAGAGCTAAAAAAGAATTTCAAAAAATCAAATAAGAGAGAGGGGGGCGAGAAATGGGGAAAGAAATGAGAGTGATGCAAGAAAATCATGAAAAAAGAGTTAATAGCTTGGTAAAGGAGGCATGCGCAAAAAAATACTGACGAAAATAACACCTTAAAAAACAGAATAGGCCAAATGGAAAAAGAGGTACAAAAATTCTCTGAAAAAAAAAAACTCTTTAAAAAAATAAAATTGGCCAAATAGAAAAAGAGGTACAAAAACTTGCTGAAGAAAATAATTCCTTAAAAATTAGAATTGAGTAAGTGGAAGCTAATGACTCCATGAGACATCAAGAAACAATAAAACAAAATCAAAAGAATGAAAAAATAG